CTCCATTGTCTTCTCAGTGTATTAAGTGTCTTATTTATCAATCTTCTTTTGCATGTAGAAACTTACAGTCTTTCACATCACTTCCCCTGTCTCAAATACGGGGAGGTAAAAAAGGTTATTGTCCTGACAGATCACATAAAACTTGCTTCCTTAGAAAACGTGGCTTGAAAAAAAAATCCAGTTTCATCTTCCCTTCAAAAAATGTAGGCAGGATTCAGGAGAGATTAAAAAGAATATATATAGCAGCAGAAAGCTGAAAGTGGCAGCAGGTGGCTGGAAAGCTGCAGGGAGGGGGGAAAGCAAGAACGTCCGGTCAGAGGCCACAGCAAAGGCAAGTCTGCACAAAGCCAGTGTTGCTGGGTGTTTTAGCTGCAGCTGCTTTTGTCTTCAAAGAGCCGCTGCCAGCTGAAAGGAATATTGCTTGACCACCTCAAACTCTGTGTTTCCTGTCGCAAATCTGGAGGACAAGAGAGACCCACCCATCTCTTTTGCTGTTTTCTTTCTATGTTTCATGTGTTACCAGATCTCTCTACCGTATCCGCTTCCAATTTGCTATTTCAGGGTAAAGCCAAGTGCTTGTGTGTGGTGTTTGTGCCTCTTCCATTAGCTGGTGAGCAACACAGGTTTAGTCTGCCAGGTGTGCTGTTTTGCTGCCTTCTTCCTCCACCTCTCCTTCTGCTGGACCGTGGGTTTGATGTGTGACAGCAGCTTATGGAAATGTACTTCAGAAGCTGGAATGAAAATGAAGAGACTTGGGCTTACGTTAAATGAGGTCTCTTGAGTTTCAGTTTAGTTTAGTCCCTTAAGCTCAACACCAGCCTGAAGAGAAAAAGCTACTAGCAAATTTAAAAGAGAGAGAGTGTATGAGTATATGTGTGAAGGGAGATGTTTGGTAGTGAAGGTGTTTCTCCGAAGAGTGAATACCCCTAGAAATGCCTTGCAGACAACCTGTGAGAGATCCCAGGGCAGAAGTCCTCCCTCTCCATCCCAAGCGGTATCCCCCAGCAGGGGATCGGTGTTGTCTTTCTGCAGCAGCTGTCACATTCCCCCATGCCATTAGCTTGCAGAAACTGTCATGTGAGCCTTGGCCTGCGGCAACATGCTCATGTGCCCTCCAGGCCCAGCACAGGCAAAGGTCAACTGGCGCCTCCTTTTCCGAAGGCAGACTTGCTCACTGCAGCTTGATTTTGCCATGTTGGAGAGCAGTCCTACTCCTTCATCTCTGATGGGAGTGACCTTTGCCACCTGATAGGGAAGAAAGAAAAAACAACAGTTGTGTGGCCCCACAAGTTATAGGGCACTGTCCAGCAGCTAGACTGCTGCAGGAGTCAAAGGAGATACAGACTCAACCCGGAAGTTTGCGCTGAGATAGGGACACATGAATGCAACTGAAGGCATTTTCTTTATAACTAGCCACACACAAAAACCGTGTCTGAGACACTATACATACAAAACCTGGAGCCAGGGGAGGCTCTCATTTGCAGACAGCACATTAATGACATCTACATTATACTTTATACCCAACCATGAGCCTGTTACCAGATCCAAACTTGCCTCACACCTTGTGCTGAGGGCAGGCTTGGATGAGCACCGGCGTGAGGAAGGAGAGGCGGTTTCACCCATAGGCATGACTATGCCTATTCTGTCTGAGCCTGCCACCCTCCTGTCCCACCTATCCTCACAACCGCACCACGCAGCTAATGAAGGCATGGCATCCTTCTGGGATAGACCCTAGCATCGTGGGCAGCCCAGGCTCCCAGGAGGTGGGAAATGCCCAAGCTCTGGCTGGCCTCAAGTGGGGTAAGTGTAGGTGCTCACACTCTGAGAACCCTTGGGCATCAGGCTAGATGCAGAAAGTGAGGGCTGGGGAAGACACCAGCCTCTATGTGTTGGTAAATAGACTGATAATAATAGACTCTTGGATCAGAAGCTGAAAGAACAGTATGGAAATGCTCCTCCCACCAGTCAAATACCACATAATTTTAAATGCATCTTTAGTTGAATGAGGAAGAGATTCTGCCTAGGTTGGGAAATGGTTTGTAAATCCTTTGTTGGATTTTCCAGGTGAGGTTGATATAAACGGGAGGAACTGCTAGCTGGGTGGCTGGGGAATAGACAACACAAACCAGTTTGATTGAAACAAGTAATGATGCATCAAGTACTCCCAGAAGACCAGCCTGGCGGCTCTGCCATGTTCAGAGAAGTCTCTGAAACAGAGTAGCTCCCAGGGCTGACAAATCCACAGTAAAACTGGACTTGCTGGTCAACCGGAAAGCAGCCAACTGCCTGTTTCACTTCTCTTTTCTTTGTACACTCCGCAAATAAGCCATTTTCCACCTTCCTCTGGCTGCTGTTAACCCAGGCCGTGGCACTTTGACAGGTTCTCTGTTTTCTGTCAACAAGATCTCTAATAATTTCTTTCTGAATAACTTTCAGAGCTTCTTTTTTATCATCAGTCATCTTGGACTTCTCTGCAAGCCTGGGGATTGCAGGTCTGCTCCTCGCTGTCCTGTTCACTAATGACTTTGGCTTCACCACCTTTTCAGTTCATTTTTTACGGCAGGATATCCAGAAACAGCTCCCTAAAATTAACGGGTAGGGACAGGGAAGCATGAGGCATCCCATTCCAAATGTAATGAATGGTTTATACGCACACTATTCACAATGAGTCTAGGAAGGAATTATGCTTTAAAGATTTTTTGGTACATGATATAAAAAGTTTTACCAGTATTTCTTCAGAAAAATATAAACAGGAAAGTGGCGTAAAGCTCTCCCTAGAATGGGCTAATTAGCAATTAGTCAAGAGTCCTTGAAGGGAAGGGGAAAGGAAACCATCAACTCTTCCATGTCTCTGTGTGATGATCCAGTGCTTAATGGTAGGAAACAAGAAGCAAATAAACAGGAAAAAGAGGAAGGAGCTGGCAGGGAAAGTGGTAGGGGAAACTCAGAGCAAGTACTCTGAGAGGCTCCGACAGACATCTTTAACAATAGGAGCAGGAAAACGAGTTTGAAAAGACTCCATTTCAAGTAAATCTTGGGTCAAATGAGGATAATTAGCCATCCATCAACTCTCGTGAAATGCAGCAAAAGGAAAACATTATTGCTTAGTGTAACTTTAATGACACATTTTCATTGTTTCAGTTTTGTAACTATGCTCCTTCATTGCCCATCAGTGTTTATAGGTTAACATGTTCTTTTTTTCATCCTTACGTTTTGTCCAGTTACAAAGCAAACTCTGAGTAATTCAAGACTGGAGAGGGCTTCCGAAGCCAATCCAATTCTCGCAGTGCTTTGCAGCCCGATATGTTTCTTGAAGATATTCACAGGGCACCAGCGTACATGTCCATTGAGTTGCCTTCCACAATTTAGAACTTGGTGGCATAGGGGCTTCTTCTACTGACTGGCAATAGCCAAGAAAGCAGTATTACGGGGAGTGTAATCAAAACTGAAGCACGAGTTTGTATTAATGCAGCTCCCGTTTCGCAGGCCACCGGCTTAGCTTTTTTTTTTTTGGCATTTCTGCTTCTCTTTTCTTTCTCTGAATCTCACGAGGCTCTCGTGATCATTCTCTCCAGCCCATCTCACTGCGACTTCCTCTAGTCATCCAGAGGTTGCTACTGCTGGGTGCTGATGACTCATAGATATATTACTCAGCAGTGATCTGTCCTGTACTCCAACCTGCTCAGTCTCAGGGCAGATGATCAGATCAGCTGGGGTGGGATCTCAGATTTCCTCTGCAATTGCCAGCCATGGCTTATTTCACCATCTCTCTGCAGCAATGGAAGATGTTCTCTAGGTAGGTCACCTTTTCTGCGCAAGGGCAACGTTATGAGCCTTCTCCCATTTTCTTCCCACGCCCACACTTTACAGTGTCACTTGCTATTCCTTTCACCAGCATGATTAAAAGAACCAGCCTTTCCTCTCTGCCACAATGTCTAATACCGTTATCAAGCCATCTTGTCTCACAATTACTGCCACTTTTATCCTCTCTGACCTCTAACCACTTCACTCGCTAATAGTTAATCTGAAGGAGGCTGCTAGAACATCTTTCTTTTTTGATCAGCTTCAAGGTTGTAAACACTTGATCGTGATCTAAAACCTTGATCTCATATTATGACATAAAAGACACAGAAATGTTTGAGTGTATTGCACAAAGAAGACGATGTCTTTGTCAAGCCATTATCCATCAGAGGGATGTTAGCATCCGTTACAGGTTAAGTATTTACAGATCAGTAGGTTTAGATAATTTGCACTCAGCAGTCCCAAAAAAACCTGACTGGAGGAGATCCTTGCTTGTTGATTTTTAATACAACTTAGGGAACTTAAAATCCAGAAGTCTCAAACGGTGTTCATGTCACATTGGTATTCAAAAGGGCCAGCAGGATAGGACAGATAAGATAGCCGTGGTCCTAGGCAAACTAAGCGAGAAGTTGGTACAAAGTTCAGTCATTAAGGGCTGAAAGCAGCACATTATATGAGTACCATTAGCACTAGTCAACATGGTTTTATAGAAAAGAGCTTTCTTTAAAAAAAAAAATCTGACTTCATTCTTTGAGGAGCTTACAAATGAGACTGATAAAAGCAATCACGTAGATACCATCAAAGTCCAAGAAGCTTCATGTAGGACTTCAATGACATTCTGATTTCAAAGCCTGCCTTCTACAATATTCATAATTCCCAGGCGAAGTGAATCAATACAGTCATCAGCCAATCTCCGTGGGCAGTCACTGGGAAGCCTGGCTGTGTCGCACTATTTCTATTCAAGTTTCACTGATACCGTTCCTCGGCTGTTCAGCAAGTTCACTGCTGATCAGAAGGAAAAACAACGAACGCCTGAAGGCAACCGGCAGACCGGCAAGGGGTCTGCAAAGACCAACTGCAAAGGCCGGTCAGAGGCCGCCTGCAGAGCAGGCTCGGGTCAGGTGGTGAAGTTCTGAGCTGGAAGAACTGGAAACACCAAATCTACCCACGGCAGGGTGGGGAAGGGGGCCGTTTCCGAGATGACCGGCTCGGAAAAGGCAGGAGCTGTCGGAGGCGGCAAGCACCTGGAGAAGCTCTTCGGTGCCTCGGCGAGGAGGACGAGGACAAAGCGGGCGGTTGGGCCCCCACTGCCCGCCTTTCCCAGTCCCGTCCCGGAGGAGGAGCCGCGGAGGAGGCGGCGGCGGCGGCGGGGG